AAGGCCTTGACTGCGTCGGTTTCCTTCGGGGAGAGCGGATATGCTCTGGAAGACTTCGGAATGAAGCCTTCCTTTGTTTCGATCCTATGGTCAACCCCCGGTCGTGAGGGAGGGAGCTTGTTGAGACCATCTTTCGCGAAGATGTCAGCGAAATCATGAAGATAGGAAGGTACCAGTTCCTCGAATGATTTCTTCTTCTTTTCTTGCATGTCCTCCATGGCAAATTCTTGGGCTTTGTTGGAGGTCTTTGTGTATTCCTGCTGGCTAGCAAGGATCCACAGGTTCCGGAGGGGTTTTGCCTGTTTTCGCAGGGCTTTTCAGACCTCTTTTTCGGAGGTTCTGTCGAGGGTGAGGGGGAAGTCAAACATGACGTTCTCGATGATCCGGACGGAGGTTCCGTCGGGAGCATATTCCACTAAAATTTCGTCGTCAGCGAGAGGGTAGGTGGAAACATCCTTAACTTCATCCGCTGGTTGGGTCTGTCCGACCCAGACGTCATCCATGGTGTCGAAGTTGATATCTTCGAAAGGCTCCATTCGTGGTGCTGGTTTCTTCTTGGCGCATTTCTTACGCTTCTTGATTTCCTTGAGGCAGTGTTGGGTGCCCTCAGGGAGTCGTTTGAGGGGAGTAAAATCCTCCTTGTCGAGTTCTTCGAGTACGGCTTTCTCCCCTCGGAAGAGGTAGGGTCGGGCTCCACTCTCTTTGCAGGAAGCATTGAGAGCTTTCTCCACCTCCTTTGACTGCTTGGTCGCAGGCAGGGAGATCGTGTTTGCCTTCCAGTCGATTTCGGGAGTCATGGCGCTAAGCCAAGGTTTTCCAAAAAGTAGATCGTCACGCTTGGAAAGTTTCATTACGTTGAACTTTCCATACATAAGTCTCTTGTCGAGACGAATGAATAGCATGCAGTAGTGGGTGACCTGTCCTGCCGAGGACTGGCTCCCATCCACCGTAGTGATCCGGAAGGGTTTCTTGAGTAGGTGGGTTCGAATCCCATTTCACTTGACGAAGTCATAGCTAATGAAGGTCCCACCTGCCCCAGAGTCGATGATTGCGGTCGTTGGAACAGTTTTGGCACTGCAAGAAGAGAATAGTGTCACCGGGACACGAAACTCGTTGGATTTCCCAACAGCTTTAGTATACAATGCGCAGATAGAGAAAATTGACCGTTCGACAATTCCTCACTTCAAAAATCCTTTCCTCCAACTCGGTTGACCTCCAGGTCTTCCTTGTCAGAAGACTCGTCAAGCTGGCGGACACCAGACTTGCTTGGCTTCTTGCCAGTGTCTTCTTCGTCATTCTTGTCTCCTCGGCGCACCTTCGGGTGGAACCGGGAGTCGTTCGCTTGGTGACCCTTCTGCTGACACTTGAAGCAGAGGCCTTTATCGAAGCAGTCTTGCTTCTCTTTCGGTGTGAGGGTGCAATCCACGTCCATGGCGTTAGGGTCGCGGTGCTGGACCTGAGGCCTAGGGACGTGCCGGTTACCCGTAGGGCGTACTGGTCGGTTGTTACCAGTAACTGCCTTGCCACGCTTGTAGTTGGACTCAAGCTGTGTGGCTGCAGAGTACCACTTGTCGATGGTGGTGGGGACGGCCTCCTTCGCGTAGATAGCGGTGCGAAGGCCAGCCTTTAAACCTCGCTCGAAAAAGTGGATGAGCGTAATGTCCTGCTTGATGCTAGCAGTGACGGCGTAGGTTTTGAAGGCTGCGATGTAGGGTGTGACGTCCCCAGTCTGTACGAGGCATTGGATCTTGGTCATGGCCTCGGTTTGTCGGTCGATGGCCTGGAAGGAGGTGTTGAACTGGAATTTGAAGTCCTTGAAGGTGCCGAAGTCCGGCGGGGACTTGGCAAAGGCTTCTTGGTAAAAGTTGTCCGCCCAGATGCGTGCGTCTCCTCCAGTCATATATTGGAGGGCAACAGCGACCTTGACTTGGTCGGTGTTGTAGATCGTTGGGTTGATGAGGAAGTATGTCTCCACAGAGTAGAGCCATCTTGTAGCATCGTCGGTGCTCCCTTCGAAATTCTGAGGTGAACCAGCCTTGATCTCAGGCTTGGTCACGGTCGTAGGTTGGGTGGGGCCTCCAGACATTCTTGTTCTGGGGTTCGAGTTGAGGTTGCCATACGGTTGTTCGTCGGGAAACTCGTCAGAGGACGTGTGGTCTGCTTCTGATTCTTCGGTTTCAGAGTCAGGAGTGTTGGGGTCGCGTTCCCAGGGGTACTTCCTGATCCAGGTAGTCGTGGTGTCTGTTTAGTCAAATGGGGGCCGCGCAGATGGCGGGGCTTCGAGGTGAAACTTGAATCTTTTGTTACGCACTCAAATAGATCTGTTAGGTGGAGCCCTAAGAGGGGCGTCGTCCGCTAACGTTTGTGACGTAACCGGAAGGATCCGGTATAGCAAGTGAGACTGGCGACGACGAGTCGGCAGTGATCACAGTACGCACATGTCACGTGACTTCTAAGATGGATGTCTTTGGAATCGCTCAAGGTTAGGACTGTCTTGTCCGAACGATGAGGTCGATCAAGGTAGACTTAGTCGCGATGAGCAACTAAGAAAAGATACCAGAGACTGAAGCCAAAGGGGCGTTCAGAGGGAAGATTGAGTAGATTCAAGTTAGAGAATCTAGTACAGGGTGACCGACTACTTATACTAAGTGGAGAGGGTTAAGGGCAAGGCTACCGCACAGTAGGTAAGGGTAAAGGGTAAACGAGAATGGTATAGGTGCATTGGCAACAGAGCCGGATTAGTGATGGATGGTCGAATGTGGAATGAGACCGAGAAACATTGGAACGGACCAACGGTAAGAATACAACGTGCGGGAATCTGCAGTCAGAAGGAACAGAAAGGGAAAGCCACATTGGTGGCACGAGTAAGACCAAGTCATAGGTGCGGGACCACATTGGTGGTCGAATCAGGGGAGGAACGTGCGTGCACGTGCATAGAGACAGACGATGCGAGGGACGGGAATGGTCCCGAGGATCCAGTCAACGGAAAGTCGGTAAAGGAGGACGAGCCGGTAGATGGTGAGGGCGAGGATGAAGGGAAAATGATAGGGGGGCCACGTGACCGATGTTACTTGTAACACCATCAGTGCGTGAAAATTGAGTATACAATGTAAGACTTACCAAGGATGTCACTTTCTTTGTCAACCTCGTGAATTCTTGTGACCGCTGTGCGACAGTCAGAGGCGGGCCTGAAGCTATCCGTGTCTCGTCGAATGTGTCGAGGATGTCTTGCCAATCATCAGGATATGCATCCTGGAAGGACCTATAACATCCGCCTTGGATGGTTGATGTGACTGCACCCCAACATGAGTCACAATGACTGAACTAAAAGACAGACTTACTGATGACATTCGCATCTTTGCCAGCTTGCTGTAGCTCGTGCAGGTGGTGAGCTTTAAAGTATTGCCCGTAAATGTTCCAGTGGTTTGTTCCGTTATTGATGCGGCCGCGAGACTTGAGAAATAAATTTAAAACTTGCTGCGTTGGCATGCCAGTCAAAACTGCAAGCTCATCGATGGTGCGATCAATGAGGTCAAACTGTTTTTCCATTGCAGCATTGGCATCTTCTGACCTCCGACCAACGACAGCGGCACCTGAAGGCCCTCCCTGGGTGTCCATCGCGTTGGCGGGAGTGGGAGGGATGACACGGGTTGCAGGAATATTGAGTCCAGGTAGAAGTGGAACATGTGGAGGCGTGTTATGTTCTGGTAGATTGTGCGGGATGAAAAGGTTGGTTGGCTGCATGACATTGAACGATCCTCCAGCCATATAGTCCCATGATAGGGCGGGGACGTCGAGCGATGAGAAGTCGTAGGCATCTCGTTCACCACTGCGGATGGGCAGATCTTGTTGGGTCTGTTCCTGCATAGTGATGAGGGGTGCTTGAGGAAGAATCACCTCACAGGGTGCTGGGAACACTTCCTGAATGAAGTGAGGGTCACGAGGTCCCACAGGCAACCTCTCGCGTGACACACTGTGTCTAGAAAATTCTAAGGAGCTGCCTGGAGGTACCCCACCAGGCACTTCCAGCTGACCTTGGGAAGAACCACCAGAGAAGTGTTCTAGGTGTGAACTGGGCATGCCATCTGGTGCATGGCCATCAGAGCCATTGTCTGGAAGCAGCTTTGCTCTATTGCGGGCACTTTTTCGAACAAGACCACCATTGCGTGAGGTGGGTCTTATGCGAGTGCGAAGTTTGGTAGGAGTCTGGATAGGGGGGGGGGTGATTTTTGACGTCCTCCTCCAATTTGCTTGGAGTGAGATTCCATAGGTGTGAAAGAGGGTGTTGAGGAGCGCAGAAAATTTTCAGGCAGATTCATTGCAGGGTAATATTGTTCATTCATTTGCTACATTAGAAACATGGTCAGATAAACTATGGCAGATTATGAACATGCGAACTTACTTGGGAGAGGAGCGACAGATGTAAGATATGAAGGGTGATAGACCAACACAAGGCTAGTCCGTGTTTAAAATGACTGTCTGATGCAACATAGATCAGTGATAAATGGTGCAGCTCAAGATGCACTCACCTTTGTCTAAGCAAATACTAGCAAGGTGCAGTGACAGAGCAATTTTTTGATTGAGGGCAACATTGATCCTACTGACGGCGATACAAGCAGGAGGAAACAGGCGCAAAAAAGTGCGTGTGATGCTTCCATGCCTTTCATATTTCTGGGAGAGTACCAGAATGCTCGTATTCCATAGGGATTCACTGACCGAAAGTTACTAGGACAGAAGATTGACAGCAATTCACTGCGTACCTTTGTGACATAGCATAAGCACACTCCTCCAGGAAGGCTCGCAAGACCATGGAAATTGCTAAATGATGAGGGATCCTCCAACTTGGGTGGGAGGCACTGGAGCATCTGAGGGCGCGCGAGGTTAGACATGAGGTTCCCGCGTGCAGCTTAATCAGCCAATAAACATCATGCGAGTCTTAATTTCACTTTGTCTGGCATCGGCTGTCAAGCAATACTATACATTCAATAGGTGTAACTACTTTACAATTCTGGGGACGCCCAGGGTTCCACCATCTCAATGTGTCCTTCATCGATTGCAATCCTAACTTTTTCCTCCCCAATTGCGACGGAATCAACATCATAGTAAACAGCGTCAGTGACACCCAGAACGCAGTTAAGTGCATTCTCCCTGGTGTCAAAATGATTAAATACGATAAGTACCTGGAACAAATCTGCGCTCACCAGCCTGCCACTACACCGATGTGAGCCCCACGCGTGACACAGAAGACCATTTGAGAGGGTTTGACTTGTACTGGAATATTATGTTTAGCAAGAAGGATACATTTGTTAAATGACATACCTGGAATGTTGTAGAAAACGGCCTTGTAGACATGAAGCACACACTCGTCTGCCAATGATCTCACAGCATTCTCGAATCGAGGATGGTTCTGATTGATGACGATGAGCTCTGGCCTTGCAGTGGAGAGTGCGCCATTGAGAAATATGACTTGAGGTGAGAAGAAAACACGCTCGATGACAAATGGTATGGCCGTCAACATGGTCTGCTCTGCTGGGGGAAAAAAACGTGAGAATTAGTAGAGTATTCTGAAAGGTTGAAAAGGCTCACCTGAGAAGAAGTGGGAGATACCTACCATCACATTCGGCTTGCCCAAAAGGGTGGCATATGCATCATGGTGGGCAGGAAGCAAGAAGTGCTGCGCTACTCGAACAAATTGCATTGCAATCCTCTCAGGCTGATAGAATGTTAATTAGGACAGAAGATCAACGGCGATTGAATGTGTACCTGCATAATAAGACGCTCTCCTCTTGGGAGGCTCATTTCTGAACCTCCACTACAATTTTCAACCTTAGTCCTCTCCAACAACTATCCAATGGCTCATCCAACTATTCATAACACGGCTCAAGAAAGAATTGAGGCACAAGAGAAGAACAAACACTATTATGCAAAGTATGTCATTATTTTATTAATTGGTCCCGAGACTGTTCCTGACACTTACTTGTAAAGACATAGAGACGCAATCTTACAATGGTGGAGGATGCATGGTGTCCAGAAACGTGACAAGGAAGAAGAGGCGATAACGAAAGAGATATTGAGAGCTGTGGCAAAATTGCATGGCTGTGACGACAATGAGTCTGAATCAGACACTGATAATTCGAGCGACGATGACATACTGTAAGTTTAAAAATAGAAACATAGATTGAAATCAATTAATGTCCAACAGATCCAATCAGCCAGCATGCTTACACGCTATCAAAACCGCCAAGGACAACATGCTCGTTTTGATTGGTGCCGACCCCTGTGAGTTCGCCAAAGACAAGTTGGCCGAGTACGTCAAGAGCATCCCAGACAATTGCAGTGCTAAGGGTGATATTTGTTATGCACTCAAATAGATCTGTTAGGCGGAGCCCTAAGAGGGGCGTCGTCCGCTAACGTTCGTGACGTAACCGGAAGGATCCGGTATAGCAAGTGAGACTGGCGACGACGAGTCGGCAGTGATCACAGTACGTGTGTGTCACATGACTTCTAAGACGGATGTCTTTGAAGTCGCTCAAGGTTAGGACTGTCTTGTCCGAACGATGAGGTTGATCGAGGTAGACTTAGTCGCGATGAGCAACTAAGAAAAGATACCAGAGACTGAAGCCAAAGGGGCGTTCAGAGGGAAGATTGAGTAGATTCAAGTTAGAGAATCTAGTACAGGGTGACCGACTACTTATACTAAGTGGAGAGGGTTAAGGGCAAGGCTACCGCACAGTAGGTAAGGGTAAAGGGTAAACGAGAATGGTATAGGTGCGTTGGCAACAGAGCCGGATTAGTGATGGATGGTCGAATGTGGAATGAGACCAAGAAACATTGGGACGGACCAACGGTACAAATACAACGTGCGGGAATCCGCAGTCAGAAGGAGCAGAAAGAGGAAAGCCACATTGGTGGCACGAGTCAGACCGAGTCATAGGTGCGGGACCACATTGGTGGTCGAATCATGGGGAGGAATGTGCATGCACGTGTGTAGAGGCGGGCGATGCGAGGGACGAGAATGGTCCCGAGGATCCGGTCAATGGAAAGTCGGTAAAGGAGGGCGAGCCAGTAGATGGTGAGGGCGAGGATGAAGGGAAAATGATAGGGGGGCCACGTGACCGATGTTACTTGTAACAATATTAGTATCATCACGAACTCAATCAGCGAGATCAAAAGTATACTCAAGTGTGTCATTGCTGCGCAAGACGAAATCCTAAATTTCTGTGGTCCCTCCGAACCTGAGTGGCATGCCGCTGACACAGTCTCTCGATTCTTGAAGACTACAGTCGCATATTTGGAGGATATCCAGCTTCTTGAAATGTCCAGAGGAGTTGTAGAGCTTACGATAGCACAATGGTTGGGAGAGCTGATGTATCAGAAGGGAATCAAGATTTGAGTAGCATACATGATTCATGACTACAGCCCGAAATTCAATTTAATTGTGACAACAGTGCGTGGTTCTACGATACTGACTACTGCTATCGGGTAGGGGGGATATATCACACAAATTGGAGAAGGAACAGTTACAACAGCGCGTGCAGAAATATCAATACCTGGGATGCTTGGCAGGGCGACAATGACTCTTTCTAACATGTAGCTGCTCATCCGGAGACATGCTTTCATCATCCGTATTGTTAGCGTATTCAGAGCTCGACGCAGACCGTTCCACAGCAGTGATTGGCGGGATAAGATCACTTGCTTGAGTGATGGATGAATGTCTTGTGTTTCGGACCACCCTAGAGACTGGACGGGGTGGCGGCGGGCGTGGGATCACTCTAGAAGCTGGCCGGGGTGGAGGGATCACTCTAGAAGCTGGCCGGGGTGGCGGGCGTGAGATCTCTATGAAGACCTCAACACGACGACGAGTAAGAGGTGTAGCAGGAGGGGTAGCAAGACGGGGAGGCCCATTTCAGTCAAAGTCACTGTTAGCAAACGCACATCGCCTGTGGGAGTGGACTGAGCGATGTCTGGGTGCCTCCCCAATGATGATAGGGTCTCTTGACATGATGAGGCGTGTGCAAGCAGCGTCGCTTGTGACGGCTTGGATGGTAAGGGTGCCTGACTTGAGTGCATTGACAAGATTTTCACAGTGGGCACGTGTCAAATTGTGGATGCCTTTGGACCGAGTGACTGAAGGTCGAATCTCGCTGGGCATAATAGTTTCGTCGGGGTAGCCTTCGAGGAAAAATACAAGCTGGGCTAGTTCCTTAGGTAGGGTTTTCCAAGGAAAGTTGTTTTTGGCATGTCCACGAAGGGTGCCACCAACAGATGCTAGAAGAAAGTCAAGATTAGTCTAAGAGGGAGGTGACGAGACTTACCGACAAGCACTGTCAATCCACCCATAACGCAAGGAATGCCATTAAGAGCCTTCCATCCATCGTCGACTTGGAGACCTGTGGTAAGCTCACTAACTCCACAATCTTCTCCTCCCAGATCCTCTGTCGACACTGCTGCATCTATGAGCTAGAAGCGATGATCAGGACCCAAAAATCAATTTGACTAGGTGACTTACTATCTGAGAAATTGTGAAAGAGTGCGCGTCCGTCTGTGTGGTAGCATCAACGTGTGACGACATGGATGTAGTCGTTGTCCAACAGGATGTGATTGATAACAGGCCATAGAAACCTTCAGAACATGGATAAATAATTAGTGTATTCGAAATGTCGAGCTTCGAAAAAATGAGGGTGAGCTCTGACTTACCATAATTGGTGAATGACTCCCAAGAGGGTCGCGTACGCTCGGAGGCTCCTGCGAGGGTAGATGACTTATATAATATATTCCATTGGGATCCTCTGACAGAATGAAAAGTTAGGACAGAAGATTGACTGCGTACCTGTGTGACAAGACACCGGTGGGATCCTCGACTCAAGTGAGAGGCGCTGGAGCACTTGGGGGAGCTGGCTGCCTGCTGGAGGTCTGGTGGCACGTGCGACTTGATTAGCCAATAAGTGTTCAAATAAAATTCACGACTAATAAAAAACATGTCTCAACTATGCTTGTCTTTACGCTGACTTTGCAGACATCGATTTTTGAAATCTCTGTTGTTTGCCGGTTCGATTGGTACCGATATCTCCCAATGTTCGAATGAAGGAAGTCCAACAATGCAATAAGAAACTAATTGTGTGCACACCTTTCATTGAGTCTTTACGTCTCTACTGTCTGTATGGGTCGAAAAGCCAGATATCTTACCTTGGCAGAGAAAACTGCTGCATTGCACAGACAGAAGGTGAACCATGCACAGTCTGAGAGGTATGTTGTTATACTATACATACAGTCAGTATTCTTAACCTTCAAATTGTTGCTGGCAGGGGGAAAGCTACTCGTCGACTTCGACATTCTCAAAACTATGCTAAAGCACACAGCCGCAAAGGCTCATCTAAGCCACCCCTAATATCATCCCAGCTTCCACCCTTACCTTGAAGTCTTATCAATCTAGCAATCACTTCCCTTCCAGACGGCGAGCTATTTCATCTCGCTTCCCAAAGTGCTGACAATCTGGACGAATCAGAGCTCCCACAGTGGGACAATAATCCTCCATACACCATGCCTCCTCCATCCGATACTCTAGCAGAGGTTCATTTCATGGAAAACCTTGTACAGGTCATGCACGGCTGTAACTCACACTTGGAGAAGGAGGAACTACAACAACGTGTACAGAAGTACACCGCAGGAGTGCTAAATCTTTGTACGGAGATGAAAGATGCTATTGGCGTGCTGCTAGGACAGTGGTACATATTACAAGATTACATCTCTGGTACGAAGGACTGTGATAGACACTTCAGGATGGCCCAATGCCTCTTACAATGGCGTGCACACAGGATTTATCTCTATCACACCGAGGTTCAGAAGATATTGAGCGGACTCAATCCATACATTTAGCTACACAATCAGAATGTAGGGATTGATACTACAAGTGTGCGAAGGTGGTAACGAAATGCAGATATATCATCTTCCTTCAAAGCCGTACAGTGGCATCCACACAATGTTGCTGCAATCATTGCAAGCACCCATACACCGCAGTCATAGCCATTAGTCTGAACAGCTGTTGTCTGAGGTTGAATTAGAACACATGTACATGTCCGATTTATGACATACTTACTATCAGCGGACGTGCAATCCAATTGTCAAAGTCGATATCAACTCTGAATGCACGATCATGTTGCCGAGCGATGTTGAAAAGTCGAACGATCAATTTCATAATATCCTAGATGTGTTGAGTCTGGATGAACAATAAAAGAGGAACTACAATGGTGCTCACTCTGACATCGCTCTTCCAAGGTCGTTGCTCGGCAAAGCTATTGAATAGGTGAAGTTCCTTGCTCTGGAGGTGCACAATACATAGCACCCAATGACCAATGATTGAGGGTCTATGAATCGGTATGATCCACATGTCCTTGGCCCAATAACAAGTCCACGATATGTTGCGCCAAAGCACGTCATCAGACACATTGTACTGAATGCGGGGGAGGTCGTGCGTGGACAAGATCACATATTGCGCTATAGCAGGAGAAGCTTGCAGAGACTCAGAATAAAGCAACGCTGCACAGCCATTGATGAGGCTGTCGTTCAGCAGTGCAGTAGGCGATGCAAGGATCTTGATATCCTTTGGTTCGAAAATTTGACGTGGGAATGCATCGCAGGGAGGACGAACCCTGGTGGTGATGACTCCAGGGACAATAACGGTAGTGTCATTCATTGGTGGTACTGGGTCGACAATGACTCGCTAGATAAACTATGAACACCCGGACAACTGCAAATGAAAGATTACTTACCTCAGGAGTGTGCCAGGTGATGAGTGTGCGAGGCTCGGTTGCAATATTGATGTCTTCTTCATCTTCGCTGTCAGGAGTGTCAACATTTATTATGTCAGCAAGGGCAATGTGCTCGGGTGGAGGATCATCGAAGGATGCAGCGATAACCTCTGGATCCTCTTCACCCTCCTCCAGGGTAGTGGCACAGGATATCGATGTTTGAGGAATCCAGTGAAGCGCAGTGTCTTTGGAAGCACCTAAGATCCGCATTGCTAATGATTCAGCATGTTTTGCATGGGACTCAAACCGTAGTGATGACGCAAGTGGGTTAGACCAACGGATTTGAAGATGTTGGAGATGTTCCCGCCGCTGACGTAGTAAGATAGAAAATCTGATGTCTGTGAAGCAATTAGTGCATATGTCAAAGATGGATGTCAACAAAAATACATACGTTCAGGCAACTGCAGGGCGAGTTCTATTGCAGCGAGTTCATCACCAAACCACCTGCAAAGATTGTCAGCTTCTAGCCCAAGATGTCGCTGCTCCTCGATGCATCTATCGCGCTTTAACATAGCGCGTATCCCATCATGAATATCCTGATCATCCAGCCAATGAGGAACCTCCCCAACTGAAGGCGTGATCCAAATATCCTCCATCAGTGTTTGATCATTGCGGAGTTCATTCAGCTTGGTGGGGAGAGGCATTGGAAGAGGAATACCACAGCCTGGTTCGTATAGTTCTTCGAGGTGTTTGCAGTATCCATTGAATTTACGTAGTGCGGCCAGCAAGGCTGGTTGTCGCTTCGATATGGCCTTTCGGGTCTGCTGGTGAAGTTTTGTCCCTGCAAAGTGTTAACACACATCATGAAGCAAGTCTAGCCCCCTACCTAATGCTTGTTGTGTGCCACTGACAGCACGATCGAGCTTGTCCCATTCAAAGAAGCTTCCAATTGCACGCTTCCGAATGTTGATCTTGAGGTCGCGTGCCAAGAGAAGTGTCCAAACAAATTCGATGTTTATTCCTTCCAGCTTGGGGAACTTGTCGTGAACGTTGAGGGAAGCGTATAACACATCAACTTTGTCCATGAGGCATTGGTGACTTCGTTCGAGGCTCTCAATCGCATCGAGTGTGTGTTGGGATACATTTCCCTTTGTAATAACCTCACTTGTTGCTTGAAGAGCCTTGTCGGAGGCATCGAGGTCACCTTGTAGGGCAAACACGGTGTCCAGCTCTTTCTTGAGCCGAGCAGGAGCATCTGTAGAACATAATCAGGCTCAGGCTGGACAATGCGAAAGAAAAAGAATGCACGAGCATGGATGGACAACTGTGACTGTCGCTGCAGAGCCCATTGATGTTGCAGATCTTCAATCGTTGCATCACACTCACTCAGCATGGTCTGTGCAGCTGTCCCTTGTTCATGAATTCCCCACTTAAGGCAACACCGGATCCAATCACCGAGGTCAGCGCGCATCTCAAGACTGATGGCAGCAGCTTGTCGGTCAAGTAGCCATAACTGACGCTGTCTCTATGGTAACTCGAACATCAGTAGAGATGAAACAAAATTTTGAGGATACATACAGATGAGGAGCGCTGAATACCTATCAAGTGGATAAATCTTGACCATAGCCTCTCGGTGCCTTCTCCGTCTAAAAGGCCAAGCATATGCGTGGGTTGTAAACAAGTTGGCACGACCATTCGTGGCCATAGGCATGCATGGCCGTTGTTGCAAATCGCAAGCGCTTCGTCATGGCTTCGGGAAGTATGTTGTACTTAAATGGATCAGCAACGAGGTTCGAAGAATCACAAAGATGACTCACCTGACTTAATGATCGTGAGAGAACACATCCCATGTCATACAGAGTGACAACTGTTGCACTTCAAGGTAATAACGCAAAAAGGTGATCAATAAGGGTGACGGCGTATTTCTGCTGCTCGCCTGGAGTGTCGATGTTTGCAAAGAAGAGGGGAATGTCGTGGCGACATATTAATGCCATGACTCCCGTGTCATCAAAGCTATCCATGGCCGCTTTTTGCTTCTTTCCATCGGTGGCTTCGTATGAATTCTCGCATAAGTCAATGGCCTCATGGGGTACAAGTGGTGCATGCGGTTTCGGTGCAGACTTGCGACTCCGATCAATATGATGCCCAATGTCATCAACCTGAGCTTTAGGTAAGAAGTAAGAGGGATCATAAAAATGGGGTGAATCGCCTGCTGAACGCCGATGTCGATGATGGAAGTTCCCATCAGTAGCAACATGAATATCTCCACCTTCTTCCAGCTGCCTTCCAAATGAGACCCGCCCAAAACAAGCAGGACAACGCTGAAGAGGGATTGTGGCACAGCGCTCATGCGGAACCACGTCTACAGTGGGCGCATATGATGCAGGATGCTCTGGGGGATCTCGAGAGGCATCTACCAAGTCTCGGCTTGCTTGAACAGCGCATTCTAGCTGGGATTCGAGCTCCACCTGTAAGACATCAAACCATAAGATAGCTTGACTGAGACTTCGCCGGAAAGGTTCTTGGATAAATTCACCCTAAGTTGTGTCAGATCTGAAGGTAAGTCAACTTTGATTCACATACCTTAGCATTCGTCATGCGGAAACCTCTGTGGATGTAGTGTGTGTGCAGGGCGGATGCGAGAGCATTCACAGCATCACATGAGCGCTCGAAGAGCATTCGATAGAAGGTGAGTAGCTCAGTAGATACTGCCATGCGTGGCTGGGAGGGGGAAGTTGGGAATAAACCGTGAAGAACCAGGACTTGAGGTGCGGTAGCACATCTGCAACTCAAAATGTCGAGGGTTGTGAAGCCTCGAACATCTTTAGCGACTTGAAGTATTCGATGCACAGATTGAGACTTACCATCGAAGAACAAGCCAATCATAGTTGTGCGTTTCTGTGCACACTTCTGCGAGTGACATGCAGACAGAATCATCGGAGGTCGCTTGACAAATTTTCCAATGGTCCTCTGAGTATACTCGAGCTGAGCATCGACGAGAGTGGGTATCAGTATCTTCCAAGTGTCATATAATTGTGCGGCAGCAATGTCAGGTAGAATGTGGCGATTTGGAATGAACTCAGAGGTGTTCAGCAGTGGAATCGAGTCTTGAGGCTCAGTAAGCGGTGGGACTTCATCTTCGAAGAAAAACAAGTCCTCGCAAGCATCGGCAGGCATGTTCTCCTCAGGCGAGACAGCGGTAGGTAACGTGTCCAGCTGGCATGTGGTCGTTTGTTCGGAATTTAGTTTTCCTGCGAGGAGCATCAGCAAACTACTAATTTGGTGACAGGTTTCACATGAACAACAAATCTACACAAACTATACAAGGTATTACAGACATACAAGCAATTCAAAATTTGGAGCCGCTAAGCACAAACAAACAGGCGGACAAACACCACAAGGACTACAGATTGTACAAGCAATACATATTATACACATCATACAAGTATGTATCAACGTAGGATACAACTAGTGTACCTAACTTGTACCACCAGCCCTGCACCCAATAAACATTGGAATGCCATTTCTCCTCCACTCTATATGCATGCATCCCACATCAAGGTCAGCCGTCAATAATCGCATGTTCACGGCTTCTACACGACAGCAATGGAGGTTAGTGAGTACGATGTGATGCTCCAAGATGCTGTCTGCGAGGTCTTTTTGGGCTTGACAAATCCTACATTTTGCTTGAGCTGCCTCAAGTGCAAGGTCGGAGTGGTCTTCTTCGTCTGATTGGTTGAATAATGGGTAGTCGAGATCCTTATGCGCAATGAATAAGAACAATCAAAGATGGAACACCGGATGCACGAACTCACAAACCGCAGGCCTGGAGATAAGCTGTGCTCATCTTTAATAATGCACGATCCCATTTGAGAAGATAAAGTTTTGTTTGGAGAGCAGGACGTGCGGTGTCCAACTGATGTCGCATTGTAAGGTCTTTGAAGGCGATACTTGAAGCGAGTACTATATGAGCGCAAGGACTGAGTTTTTGGAGAAGAATTGCAAGACAAAGATGAGACTACAGAAGAGCTTGGAGACGAAGTTACAGAATCATCCATCATATGTAAATATATACTCATATAATGGGTGTACGAGCAAAGATAAGAAGTGTGCTTGAAGTGTGCTTGAAGCATGTGAACAAATCTTTCCTTCCAAATAACCATGTCAATATCATGTCCGAAATGCGGGAAAGTATTCAGCAAGGAGTCCAGCATCACTCGTCACCTCAGTCAGCCTCGATCATCGTGTCATAGTTCCATTCGCGACATGGTGGACATTTCTCAGTTTGCAGAGTCAGCTCTACAATTACGGCAGTCCCCCAATCCAATTCCTCACCATGGTATAAATTTGGATGCATATCCTTCGCATTTTGATGTCGACTTCTTCGAGACAGAGGGAGAGGAATACATGAGTGCGGAGGAACGGTACGAAGGCGCAGGGACTTGTTACTCTCCAGACGGCCTGATGTTCTTGGATCTTTTTGACGCGGACGAGTATGCAGAATACAGAAAGGATAATCTATTCTATCCTTTTGCATCAAAAGAGGAATGGGAAATCGCTGATTTTCTCCTTCATTCTCCTCTTAGTATGGCTGCAATCAATGAATTTCTAGCGCTTCCAATGGTGAGTGCTCTTCACAAATGCTGGCACTTTGAGATCTTACGGACTCACAACTTTGCATCTTCTCCTTCTCGCAATTCTCAAGTCTCTTATCCTTCTCGTATTTCTTAATATCCTTCTCGCACTTTTACTGATCATGTCCTTACTTTACAGATCCGCAGATTGAAGCTGTTGTTCAGTACCACTCAAGAATTGCGAAGCCGAGCCGAGATGCTACCCAAGGGACCAAGCTGGAAGTGTCAAATCATCCCATCTCTCCATCACACCAAAAATCCAATCCAACTTTTTTGGAGGGATCCGGTCGAATGTTTAGAAGCCCTCTTCAGCAACCCCCTTTTCCACGACAAGCTTGATTTTGTTCCTCGTCGCGTGTACACAACTGCAGCACGGCTTACCCGCGTTTATTCGGAGTGGCTGACAGGCGATTCTGCTTGGGAGTTCCAGGTATGTGCATATGAGCCCCATAATGTGCGCTGTCTTACACAGGGCCTACAGAGTCAAGTGCCCAGAGGCGCTACAATTCTTGGCACAATCCTTTCTTCCGACAAAACAAATATCACCACTATGACTGGCGCTAGGGTTGCTCATCCGCTCCTTCTCGGTCTCGCTAATATCCGCATGCAAACTCGCATGAAACTCTCATCCAGGGCTTTCCTACTCACAGCACTCCTCCCTATCCCGCAGTACTTACACCCTAATCAATGGATGTGAGGTGTTCTCGAAGACTGCCTCATACATCAATGTCTTTCCATCATCTTAAAGCCACTGATGATCGCGGCCGAAATCGGGATAATGATGTCTGATTTTGTCAGAAATGTTCACCATTGCTATATGCCCCTTGCAGCATACATCGTTGATACCCTGGAGGCATGTATGCTTGCAGGCGTACGTGGGAAAACCTCCCCATTTACAATGGCATTATATCTGGAGTTTGGGGACAATTTTCGTCACCCCAAATGTACATGCTATATCACTCTCGGTCAGCTTGCCAAGATACACGTTGATCACAATGACCTCGAAGGTTATTTTGATGCATGTGCCGTATATCGTCCGGTGTCCATGCGCCCTTCTGTCAAGATTGGCCGTTTGCTTGCCCCTCGGTCTTTTTAACTCCAGAGGCCCTGCATCACTGGCATAAGCAATTTTTCGATCATGACCTTCAGTGGTGCATTGCGGTTCTTGGAGCTCAGGAACTCGACTTTCGATTTTCGATTTTGCAGCCAGTCACGGGCTATCGTCACTATTCTGGCGGAATAACGAAGCTCAAGCAAGTTACAGGCAGAGTCCATTGTGATCTACAGCGTTACATTGTCGGTCTCATCGTCGGTGCAGCCCCTCGTCAATTCGTGATCGCGATCTGTGCCCTTATGGACGTCCGGTATATGTCACAATTCCCTTCTCCGGACGACAATTTATTGGCATCTATTGACCAATCTCTTTCGACCTTTCATCAAAACAAAGATGTTATCATGACATTGGGTGCACGGACCAGTACGAAGAAGACAATTGACAATTGGTATATACCTAAGCTAGAGCTAATGCAGAGTATCACTGCCAGCACATGTAAAGTTGGAGCCCTCATCCAGTGGTCTGTGGACACCACTGAACACGCACATGTGTCCGAAATCAAGGAACCTGCGCGACAAACCAATAATAATGATTATGATCCTCAGATTTGCCATCATTTAGATCGACAGGACAAGCTGCGGCGATTTGCGATTGCTATGACGTTGAAGAGTGGTGTCCTTGATCCAGACCCCGAAGAATTACCTGTGGATGAGGGAGACAATGAAGACATTGCTGGGTTCGATGAACCATCTACTGATCAACGAACTGCACTCCTGGAGGGACTTAATCGCACACATGTCACTACCAACTACTTCATCAAAGCTAAGGAGGCGGCTACTGTACCTCGTGGACCTAGCCCTCATCCTCCTCGAACGTTTACCGCTGATGATACCGCTATCCATCTAAATTATAGTCCAACTCGCACTGGAATGAAAATTGACGATGTCGCAGATGAATTCAACATACCGGATCTTCGTGATGCTATTTCAAACTTCTTGTGACTTGACGCGAGGCATGGAGATGTGATTCATGGGGTTGGAGTCTCAAGAAGATCGTTAATCGACCGTCCTTCTACTCTGCCTTTTGATCGTGTTCAAGTTTGGCACACAGTTCGCTTGCAGGAAGTTTCCTTCCATGATCCATGTGTCATCTTACCAGCGCAAACCTTATATGCCTCCACCATGTCCTGGGTGGCCGAAAGGCCAACGAGACGCCATCCTTATCAATGTTGATAGAGAGTATGAGTGGCCCCAGTCAGGGTTAAGGGGTGAGTCCTTTTCTACTCTTATCAATCTGGCTGAAGTGTGACTCCTTGGAAGGGCACGCCATCTGTGAAGTGCAGCTTATCATCCGTCCAATGGCCCGACGAGGCTCTCGTATCACCTGGCAAGATCAGTATCTATGCTATGTGCATAACCTGAAGGTTGGCACAGTCCATCCTGCCGCTGGGATGCATGTATTGAAGTGTGCTAAGCATGCGGATGGTACTCCAGTAGGTAACATAGTTCCCCTCAAGCAAATGCGTGCTTTTATCAGTATAATACCTGAGCTGGGAGCTGCAGCGGACGCGCGGTTGACAAAGGAGACTTCTGCACATTATTCCTCGTCATTTTTCTTGAACAAGTACTTCAACAAGCAGCTTTATTATGCACTTTACCATGCTTCATAACAGATAGATAGATAGATTGTTATATTATATAGTGCTCAGATGTTTTCCGATGATCCTGATGCCTTTGATCCATAATGATAACAGATAAGGAACATGCCCGGACACTGCCCAGTGCCTAATTGGTAGTTGCATGCCTGAACGACAAGTTGGTCGTTGACCACCTGACTTGGACAATGCAGTCATCCATGTCATCCTGGCAATCCGACATCGACAAATTCTTGCTCTATGCAACAATAAGCTCTGTTGGTGTCCCTTCTGGCCCACGCACCTTAGATACTACGCAAGCTCTCCTTAGGCAAGAGCTGAAAAACCGCCTGATTCATGAAGGTATTGGAAGGGGTGCCGGAATACCGTTGGAAAACTCTGTTTTCCATCATCTTGTGATGAAAACTACTCTCCAATTAAGCGACATCAAGACAATTCAGTATGACAGAACAGGACCATCTGCATACTCCGGAGACAAATGGAAATTCCACCGCAGGAGAAAAGGAATCAAACGTACTCGTGGCGCAAAACAAGACGATGGTACAGAGGACAGTGACACAGGGCACGAGGATGCAGAGGATGATGTTACAGAGTATGATGATACAGATATCGATGATGCAGAGATCAAGGGTGCAGCACTTGGTGTAGAGCCCTCTTTTGACTCGGTGATCCATGGCCAATCTGAAACAGAAACATGGAGTTCCCAAGAGTACCAGCCTTCTAGGTCGAAGAAAAGGCACAGACAGGTGCCCATGATGACCGAAAAAGAGTTTCAACGTCTCTTCTACACCATCCAGTACCACCTGCGTCACAAACTGAAACTCCACCTCCCTTTCAACATCTCAACTGGATCCCAGTACTGGTCCGCAGAGTTCTCCACCTCTCCTATACCAGACAAATACAACTGCCAGAAGCCCGACATAGCCCTGTTTGACTTCGCCATCAAAAACATGGGGAAGACATGGGCAGACGTCCTGTCCTTTGTTGAGCATACCTCCAGCGATCTCACTAAAAAGCGAGATATACCAGTGTTCTGGGGATCTACGACCAAAGCCTACCTCATGCTGAGAGAACAACCGTGGCGTCGATTCGTCATTGGGTTTTCGATTTGTGCCAATCAGCTTCGCGCACATTACTTTGACCGCTCTGGTCTCATTATATCCCATCCTTTCCACATCCATCAAAAAACAGGCCCTGTGCGACTCACAGAGATGTTGGGTACCCTCACTCTATCGGATATTCATCATTTAGGTTTCGATCCGATGATCCACATGTGTAATGCTGCATGCACAGGAACTCATCACATGAGGCGGAGGGCTGGGTGAAGGACAACCACGACAAAACATATTCTATTATGGAGGTTCTGTGGAAGAGCCATGGGCTTTTCTGTTGTGGAACGGTTTGTTATCGTGTTGTTGATGAGGCAGGGAATAAGTACGCTTTAAAAGATTGTTGGGTGACAGAGGAGAAGAGAATGCACGAAACGACTATCCTGGCGATGGTCAAGGGCATCCCTAATGTTGTTGAACTCATAGACCATTGGGATGTGTATTACGAAGGGGAGCCTGACTGCACAGTGCACATTCGCAGCCAATACGACATGGGCCATCTGGATGACTTGATGTTCCACAACAGATTCCACCGCCACATTCTCTTGTCCCCCTGTGGAGAGCCATTATCTAAATTCAGCTCTAGACAAGAACTGCTCACCGCCTTTCATGCCTTTGTAGTTGGTGAGTCTTATTGAGCATGTAAAATACTTGTATCAACTTTTTATTTTCAGCTCATCACATGATGATTGGGAAGCGAGTCTTGCATGGGGACCTCAGTCCCAATAATTTTGTTGTTCATGACGGTATCGGTTACTTCATCGATTTCGATCATGCCTCGATTCTAGTGGAAGGCACGACTAGCACCTATTCGCATGGTACAGTAAGTTTCGGTATACATTTTAGCTGTTCATTGTTCATTTCATTTTTTCAGGGGACCATGCCCTACATTTCTATCCGCATTCTTCAGGCTATGCTGGATCTAGCCCCATTTGAGGTTGGCGCCAACATCTCAGGCCAGGATGCTGATCCAAACAATGTGGACAATTTCAAGGTGGACAACAACGTCGACCTTGTTCCGCAGGCTGCCAGTGCTCTGCAGGATGTCAACTTTGATACGAATCTAATCGAACACCGGCCCAGCGATGACCTCGAGTCCTTATTCTACATTTTCTTCGAATTTATTGCTAAGTATGGGGGGCCACACGGCCAATTGGCACCCACCTGGTCCCGGCAAACTTTGCCGTGGGTGAGCGCTTATGAGGCTTTGGGCAATGCGGACACCCATTTGGCTCTGAGTACAATCTGTTTTGTGAAGATGGGGGTTTTGATGCAAGGCAGATTCTTGGTCGCTAAGACATCCGAATACTTTGTGGAATTCCGACCTCTTGTGCAAAAATGGGGCACCATGGTTTACAATGCGAACGCGCCCCAAATCAGGTAGAGATGACCCATGCTGGAGTCCTCGACCTACTCGATGTATTCATGAGATCTATTGGTGAAGAACCACCTCCTTTAGGACAATTCCAGAGTCTTCATCCCCACACAGCAGCATCGCAGGGTCTTCATTCCCGCACATCAGCATCCCATGCTCTTCACACACCCCCAGCAGGGCCACCTGAGCCTTTACCACATTGTTCCACTTGTCTTAGCAAATCATTAGCAAATCCCCCGATATCCTCTACAGCACTTTCCAAGCCTTCGTCGTCTCGTTCCCCACGAAAAAAAAAGAATAAACGGATGACTTGGAGGAGGCAATGAGAAGACGTCTGAACTTTTTTTTCACACATGTCATCCCACAATCCTCTTTCCAAGTGCTGGCGCTCTGTATTATGGACTCTGGAGCCTCTTTGCCTTCTCGCAATTCTCAAGTCTCTTATCCTTCTCGTATTTCCTAACATCCTTCTCCTCCTCAAAACTCAACTTGTTGTGCCCTCTTATTATTATTATTACGTTCGGAGTCATACTGTACCTGTACACATACTCTGTTGTGCTAGTTTAGTACGTCAAACCATCAGCTTTTTTTTTTTTTTTTGAATCCAATTTCTGTCCGGTTGGGGTATAGTACCCTATGTAGGACAATTCTATCTAGGAAAGGGGGACACCTGTGTCCCCCACCGTGTCTCCGACTCTGCAAATGCCCTAGTGGAGGTATGACCTCCGCAACCATCAGCTTATGTGATACGACTCTGGGTACTAATTGGTAGCGACAGGTTTTAGAACCAAGTCTTGACACTTCCCACCTTGTCGCTCGATGCCTCCAAAGAAGAGGGCCAGGCGCTCATACGAAGTCTCCGAGGCTACTCGACGAAGTGAGAGATCTACACGAGGCCAAGGTGGACATGCAGACCAGTTGAAAAAAACTGGAGAAACCTTAGCGGCCCCAGCGAGGAAAGGTCGGAAGCAGACCACTCTTGACATTAGTGATGCAGAAGAAAACCCCATGGCTCCTTCCCAGCTCCGGAAACCAAAGAAAAATGTGTATAGTTGACGTTCTAATATGAACTCCCAAAAGCTAACATTCTTCTAGGCTACTACTAAAAGGTCTCTGACTGGGAGCACCAATCCTACTCAGCGTTCCATTGGTATCAACAAGAATGTCTATTCAGGACGTCAGCAACCTACTTCAGGATGCCAACATTCTGGCGCATCTCTCCAAACAGCCCCAAGCGCAGCTCAGTCTTCAGGTAGGTTTGGGTTTCGGCAGCCTACTTCGACTAGCAGTCAGAACATCCGGAAGCCACCACGGTCCAATGAGCGTACCCGTGAGGAGGAGGCTGGAAATCAAGCTCCAGAGCATGATATCGGTGACGATGACCAGGACCAGGACCAAACTGACGGGGAAAATGAGGAAAGGTATGTCTTCTGCTACTATCTCATCCATCTGTTGTCACATGTGCCCAATGCAGGGACAGGGTTCAGGACCAGGAGCAAATGCTCAAAACAGGCGATACCATGGACTTCGGACAACACGAAGACGATTTGGATGGCGAGTACGAAGGTGAAGCTCAGGAAGATTTTAATCGTTGCGATTTCAACCATGAGCCCGACGCTGTGGACGATTTTCTGAATCAAGGTATGATGGGATGTCAACAATTAGCCTAATGCTTAGGGATTTCAATCAAGGTATTGATAGGGATCTTGACGACGAGATTGACACTCAGATGGACAAGCCTGATGCTCAGGACAATGCTATTGATGATGATTTCAACAATGAGCTCGACAACGCGGCCAGAGACAAAACAGAGGAAAGTGTTTTAATTTTTGTCTTGAGGTTAATCTTATCACATGTTCTTAGGAAGCTTTTGATGTTCTCGAGCGTCATCAAATGAAGAATGGATGGCGCAAGGCTCCTTCCTTAACTTATCTATCGAAGGCGAAACATACTGAACGCAGACATGCTTCTAGCCACTCGAAGTCTCCTCGTCGACCGTCACCTCAACGTGTGGTGTCTACTGGGTCTTCTGCTCTAGCGCGACCTCCTAAATGTGAGTGCTTACCCCACAGTACTTCTACCCACTCAAAGTATCCAGATTGGCGTTCGGTGTCGCCTCATAGACACACATCTCAGCGTGTCCCGTCTACGTGCCCTTCTTCCTCCCGCATGCACTCTCGCCATTCTACACGCTCAAGGTCTCCATATCGGCATTCAGTGTCGCCTCATAGACACACATCTCAGCATGTCCTGTCTACGCGCCCTTCTTCCTCCCGCGTGCACTCTCATCATTCTACACGCTCAAGGTCTCCATATCGACGTTCGGCGTCACCTCATACACACGTATCCCAGCGTCCCTCCCGCATGCAGTCTCCTCATCGGCGTTCTCCATCTAGGCGAAGCACTTCCCCCAGTCGTGCTCACATATTACAGTGACCTATCTCCATATAATACAAGGGAACGGACATGCATAATATCCCGTATGATACGGGCCAGCGGACCATGGGCCCATGATAAAAATATCCTTAACTATGACGGATGGGCCGGGAGGCAAATTATTCCCGATGGAGGCGGGTGGGCCCATGCAGGGAATATATAGAGTAGATGAGTGGGCCGATGTACATAAATATTAGGTAGACAGGTGGGCCGAGGTAGTTGGATATTATGCAGATGGGTGTATTAAGGTAGATGTGTATGAGATAGATGGGTAGGTACTTGTTATCACATTCACGGGTGGGCCCAGACACATATTAAATTAGATGGGTGGGCTGAGGGTATTATAAAATATTGTATTAGATGGGTGGGCTGAGGGTGTTGTATGGGATGTTGTATTAGATGGGTGGGCCAAGGGTGGTATAAAATATAGATGGGTGGGCCCATGTGTATCATAATTGTAGACATGATGGAGCTGACGTAGTTGTACATCAACCAAATCAGAGGAGGTAATAAATCAAAGTTACCAAGTTCCTGGAGCAGCAGGTGATCTCCTGACATGGCCTTTGATGGTGCACAGGTTGTCTTGCAAAATTTGGAATCCGGGGTGCGAAGCTTGTGTTGCCCTACGAGAAGCCAAGTTCCGATTATCAACCTTTGGGTCAACCGTACTCAGAGGAGGTAATAAATCAAAGTTCCTGAGTTCCTGGAGCAGCAGATGATCTCCTGACTGTTACAACAAACGGTCGTGTGCGACTAGGATAATCTAACAGCGACAACCACGACAGTGGTACCGAGTGCTGAGAGTCGTCGGCCTTTACAGACAAGCAAAGGTTGCGTACTTGAACGTAGCTCATGGTGGTTAACGAGGGGTTACGCCGAGATGATAGCGGGTTTACAGACAGTGAGAGGCGTCACTGAAGGTACGAGTCAATGTCAAGCAAGTAGCTTTAGCGGGACAAGGAGTTCAAGGGTAAACCTAGTAAGATTCAAGTAAGGAACATCTACTTGTAATCTTCGACCTTATATAAGGCTACTCTTCGTATCTAAGCTCAGCCTAAAGCTGGGTTCTAATCTGCTTATCTACATGAGTCAGAGATAGCGTCCATGAGGCAGGCTTCTATCGTAGATAGGGTCCATGCGGTACCCTTCTATCAGTACATGAGGCAACACGAGGCTTGCCTTCTATCTTGATAACATAAATAGGTCTTCTAGACCTATGTCGTCATGTCATGTCACGTGCGGTCCAGACCGCTTATCGTCTATCATCATCTGTCGTCATCTATCGTCATAGAGCTGGTGAGACTCCGGTATCGTCTATAGCCGTGCGGTGGCAGAGGGCTGTCTGCTGGCGGGGGACTCGTGCCATGTTACTGTAACACTGACATGGCCTTTGATGGTGCACAGGTGGTCTTGCAGAATTTGGAATCCAGGGTGTGAAGCTTGTGTTGCCCTATGAGATGCCAAGTTCCAACCACCCAAATTTGGGTCAACCATACCGACTTCCAAGTTCCGGGACCCGGGAGTTGACAAATGAATATCTGATAACCAGCACACTTCCAATCAGGTAGTATTTCATTGAGCAATGGATCATCCAAGGGGTCCCTTATCGGACTCGGTAGTCAATATAGGCAAATGACAATGAAAACATGAAAGTTGTTATTATGCTATTTTTCAAACCTGAGACCCTGAAACCCATTGTTCAACATGTCCCATTTTCACTCACTGCACAAATCACTGAGTTTCAAGTGCCGAAACCCAAAACTCGAAACCCAGTGTGCAACATGTCGATTGTTCATTTACATTACACAGATCATCAAGTTCCGAGTGCCGAGGGCCAAGACCCAAAGCCCGAGACCCGAAAATATGTATGCAACATGTCCATTTTTCACTTGTTGCACAAATCACCAAGTTTTGAGTGCCAAAACCTGAAACTCGAAACCCAGCGTGCAACATGTTGATTTTTCATTTATATTACACAGATCATCGAGTTCCGAGGGCCAAGGGCCGAAACCTGAAGCCCGAGACCCGAAAATATGTACACAACATGTCCATTTTTCACTCATTGCACAAATCACCGAGTTTTGAGTGCCGAAACCCGAAACTCAAAACCCGGCATGCAACATGTCCATTTTTCATTTACATTACACAGATCATCGAGTTCCGAGTGCCGAGGGCCGAGACCCGAACCCCGAAAATATGTGCACAACATGTCCATTTTTCACCCATTGCACAAATCACTGAGTTTTGAGTGCCAAAACCTGAAACTCGAAACCCGGCATGCAACATGTCCATTTTTCATTTATATTACACAAATCATCGAGTTCCGAGTGCCAGGGGCCGAGACCCGAAGCCCGAGACCCGAAAATATGTATGCAACATTTCCATTTTTCACTTGTTGCACAAATCACCGAGTTTCAAGTGCCGAAACCTGAAACTCAAAACCGGGTATGCAACATGTCCATTGTTCAATTATATTACACAAGTCATCAAGTTCCGAGTTCCGAGGGCCGAAACCCGAACCCCGAAAATATGTGCACAACATGTCCATTTTTCACTCACTGCACAAATCACCAAGTTTCGAGTGCCAAAACCAGAAACTCAATCCCCAGTGTGCAACATGTCCATTTTTCATTTACATTACACGGATCATCAAGTTCCGAGTGCTGAGGGCTGAGACCCGAAGCCCGAAGCCCGAAACCCAAAATCATGTACACAACATGTCCATTTTTCACTTGTTGCACAAATCACCAAGTGTTGAGTGTCGAAACCTGAAACCCAGTACTTCACATGGACACGAATTGTATTTGTATGTATTATCCATTGGTGTAGGGTTCAAATAACTTGGTAATTGTATTTGTCAGTACTCGGTACTTGGTACTCGGTGATCGGTGGTCAGTGGTCGGTACTCGAGACTCGGTAGTCAATATAGGCAAATGATAATGAAAAATGACAGTTGTAGTCCACGTCAAGGTGAGTGTCTTGGTAGTCTTTCCTTGTCATTCGGCAAAACATCAGCAATAATGAAAAAATGAAAGTTGTTATTATGCTTAACTTCCTTACCGAAGGTTGTAGTCCAAGTCCAGGTGAGTGTAGTGGTAGTCTTTTCTTGTCAATTGGTTATCTTGTTACTCATTATGCAGTACTCGGTACATGGTAATTGGTACTCAGTATTTGGTTTTGATACTCGGTACCCGGGAATCAGTAGTCAGCTTAATGAAGGTTGTAGTCCGAGTCTAGGTGAGTTTATTTGTAGTCTTTTCTCATCCATTGGTTACCATGTGACCGAGATATAAGCTAAAGAAATCCGAAACATCAATAATGACAAATGAAATACATGTGTGCAGTAAGTGAGTGTAAAGATAAAAGAATGAATATTAATAGCGAGACTTGCACATTATGTCGAGATATCCAACATAACAAGCCTGTGATGTGATGAGAGACCTGGAATAACACCCATATACATCCATTATAATAGCTTAAAAGCCTAGAAAGATTCATGAAGGATTGATGTAATGATAGGCAAAATGACATATGTGTGGAGAGTGACAATAGACATCTTTTATACAAAGTCACATTTATATATGATTCAGGCTGAAAATATCATTACAAATATGTAGGATAGATCGTAAACTACCCAAGTAACCCATACTGCCTACTGCCCTGAGGGTAGGGGGTGGGTAGAAGGGATATAGTGAAAATATGAGTTGACCCAGCATTAAAGTCCTACCACTGCTCAACTAACCATTTTCGATGCTTTGGGTCTTTGAAGTTTCCCACACTCAATTTCTTACCCATTTCACTTCCTCAGTACTCAATTCTTGGTTGATTTGTCTGTAAATTTATGTCTATGATACTTAAGATATTTGAAATGTACCCCAGGTTTCTGATTACGAAGATTCAATGTTTTGAAGGCATGGGCCCCTTATCAGGAAAAATGGCAAGTATACACACTAGCTCACAAACTCCAGCCTATTGTGAGCTGATCTTGGTCATAAGAAGCAAGAATATAAGCTATGCTCATTATATATTAAAAGGTTGGATCATGGATGCAAGGGCAAGATACTGAAAATCATGAAAAAATGTCAAAAGTGCAATTGTCTATGCTTTGTTCCTGGAGAAGGATCCTGTGTGTCCTGGGCTGGTTATATGATATATCTACTCCGAATATGCTCAGGAATAGACTCCCTACAGTCCTTGAGGTCCAGTCCTACAGGGAAAAACCCCAGCGGGTGAACCACCAGAAGAGGGGGAGGTACACTATACAATAAAGGATTACCCTATGGTCCTGAGCTCCTGATACATTGTTTCTATTGTTGAATAGATGATTGAGATATAATTTCAAAGTCTATTCACCTAGAAATGAACACATAGGAACATATTTTGTATTTTTATGTATATATGCAATATCCATTTAAGCACCAAGTCTCAACTACCGATTACCAAGTCCCGACACTTGATAGTTGATAGTCAGTATTCGAGCTCCGAGTGCCAATATTGCCTACCAATATCTCAGTCAAATGATAACCAAACCAAGACCCAAGTTCCAAACCTGACTACCGAATACCAAGTATCAGTACTCGGGACTCGGGACTATTGGCTGGAGTACCCAACTATTGATTCCCAGGTACCGAGAATTAGAACCAAGTACCGAGTACCTGACTACTGATTCTTGGGTACCAAGTATCAGAACCGAGTACCGAGTACCCGACTACTGATTCTCGGGTATCGAGTATCAGAACCAAATACTGAGTACTGATTCCCTTGTACCGAGTACTGAGTAACAAGATAACCAATTGACAAGAAAAAACTACCAATACACTCACCTTGGCTCGGCCTACAACTTTTGTTCAGGAACTTAAACATAATAATAACTTTCATTTTTCATTATCGCCGATGTTTCAGATTTCTTTAGCTTATATCTCGGTTAAATGATAACTGATGGACAAGAAAAGACTACCAATACACTCCCCTAGACTCGGACTACAACCTTCGGTAAGGAAGTTAAGCGTAATAACAACTTTCATTTTTCATTATCATTTGCCTATATTGACTACCAACCACCAACTACCAACTACCAACTACGAGCACTGAGAAATACAATTCCCAAGTTATTTCAACCCTACACCAATGGATAATACATACAAAGACAGAATTCATGTCCAT